TAAGAGGGGAGACGCGGAGATGGTTGTTCGATGGAGTGAGCGAGTCTTGGAAGTTCCACAATGGACTGTGATGGGCCAGGTTGAAGGTTCATTGGCGATTCTCGGGACGTAGGGACACGGAATCAGGTTGGCGGGTGTACGAAGCGGGTTCGAAACCGTTTCGGCCACTCGGCGTGCTCCTTTTTTCGGGTGGGGAAAAAGCGGAAAGTACCATCACCTCACAGTGGATTTCCCGCCCTCCGCGGGAATCTTCTCTCGGGAAGAATGAAGGCCGATGTTATCATACCGCGGGATTGAAAGAGCCCCGAACGCCGAATTAACCGTGAAACATTAATCCACGTGGCGGTTTCATTTCGCGTAACTTCGATGGACTCTGGATGTAATTACGACGTCGGAATCTCACTGCTGACTTTTCGCTGAATAATGTCTGACGAGCTCGAGCACGTAACTCGGTTCATCTAAAGATGGGCGCGCGTGGAAGAATTTTCGTTTAATATCGAGTCGCGTTATTCGCGTCATATCACGTCGTATTATTCGCACGATATTATTTCAATCGAAAACCTAGTTTTCAGCGTGGACTCAATCCCTCTGTTTAATGTGACGCTCAACGCGGCTGTCCGTTCATTAAAGTTACGTAAGAACGGCATGACACAACGTTAAGGATAATACTTGTTGTATTTATCAGCTGAAGCTTAAAAATAAATTCACGCCAGAGTTCCAAGTGGCATTGGTAAGCGAGCGGGCTGGCAAGTCGTATGTCTCGCAGATGCAAAACTAGACAGCCCAGACTCGCGCAGTCACGATTTCTCTAGTTCGCTATCAACATTGTGCATATCTGTATATGCGGGGAACTCGGCGTTGATATTACACCGTGCCACGGACACAGGACTTCATTGTAAAGTCTATTCGCTATATCTGCCAGTGAGATATGCGGACCGCGTTTATTGTACGGGGGAAGGTTTCTAATGCGGCGACTTGATTTTGCTCGTTCTGCGTTAATGCGCGATATCTCCCTCATGCGCGAGCGGGAGCGAAACTCAATTAGATTCATGAAGATAAATGTGCCCGCGCGCGGTCCGGATGAACGACGACGTTCGCGTCGATACTTTAGACACGTGTCAAATTAAAGCGATCGAGTTAAAATAACGTTGTTATCCTGTCACTCGCGCCCCGAAACAAGATCCCCTTAAGAACGTTTGGGAGCTCTCTTATAAGTCGAAATATTACGGTATTCTCTGTACGTGTTCTATTTGGAATTCCATTTTCGTTTGAAATTGCAGACGAGGCGAAGATGTTTGAACTTTTTGAGAAAGATCTGAATTGACATTCCACGGCAGTCTAAAGACATACAGGGAATAACGATTACGGGATTCTTCAGGTACCAATAATCCGTCGGCGTGCAAGAAAAGAAAGAGGGGGGGGGGGAGAGAGAGAGAGAGAGAGAGAGAATTGAAGCCGCGATACCACGAAAGAGAATTAAATTAAATGTGCCCCATCATTTTTTCATTTAATTACGTCTACACTTGGCATGCTTTGAATTCGCGCATGTGGTAAATTACAACGAACGAATCCATCGCCTGATTAGATGGGATGCAGCGATTCGAGAAATGCGCAAAGTGGATAGCGGTTGTTACCGCTCGAGGAAGTTTCCGCGTCGTCGCGAGAACTCCGCGAGACGGAAAACGAGTAAAGTAATCGCGAATCGATACTAGCGGCTCTCTAAACTACTTGAAAGTTGAAAGAGATCTAATGCCACGCTGTCTGGCTCCCAAGATAGCCGTGGACCTCACGGCGCGGCACTTGCACGTCGATTGAATGAGTCAATTTCGCAAACTGTCCAGCGTCCATCTCTCGTCATCGAGGACGGTCAAGCGTCAAGATTAAGAGTGGAATATTATAATCCTGCAAACTTTCGATCCGTTAATCTTTTTTTTTATGCTATTTAAATAATGTAAAATATAACGTATCGGCCACGGATAACCGGCGCGTGGTGATTTTACAATGATATAACGTGGACTGATTCTTGACTCGAGAGCTCTCGGGGTAAAGCCGTAAAGTCGACACTGAGCCACTCGAAGGACATGTCACGCCGCATCGCCGCGACGATGTTCGATCCCGTAAGGTAAGACGAAATTCCGCTGAACGAGTCGCGGTCTCGTAACGACAAACATGCTCGAGACGTGTACGATTTCGCCGACTCGAATCCCTTACACCTCGCGGGTACATAGTGCGCCGGAATTGAAAGTGTAGGAAACACGGAGATCCCGGAGTCCCGGTAAATCTCTCGAGGAATTCAGCGTCGGAACTCCGGCAAGAGGCGGGATGCGCGAGGGGGTTGAACGAGATAGCGGGAAACCGGCAGGGGGTCAGGGGCGTTCTAATCGGCTTGTACGTGTACTCTCACAAATAGCTAAGCTCGTTGTGGAAGGCGGTTAAGCTTGGGAGATGTTTTCATCAAAGGTGGTTAAATTCCGCGAAAATCCCGTAGAGAGACGCGGAAATGAAATTATCGACGCGGCAGCCAAGTTCGATGGAAAAACTTAAGACGTTCGCCGCCCCATTGGCGAAAGCGTTAATTTATAGATAGTAACGTTTCATTTCACTTTGCCGCGCGCGCATAACACGTTTCACTCGACTGCGTGTAACATCGCTTTTAATCACCCTGTAATCGAATGCCATTGCGAGAACTCGAGCTATGCGTAACGCCAATTGATTTCGTTATCAGTTTCACATGTCTATTGACGTTATTCAATATAGCTAGATCATAGCACGCTAATTTTTCCTCTAAAGGCTTAATAATTGTGTTATATATGTATAGTTGAATTTATGGCAGACAAACTGGTGCAGCTCCCCCCCTCTCTCTCTCTCTCTCTCTATTTTATATCATTATCATTTCGCAATAGCGATTAGTACAGCTGCTAATTTGTAGTAAAATTGTAATCCAATTAACAAAGTGCAACCTTTGAAGTTAAACTTTTTATATCTACTATGACCAATTTTTTCTTAATATTTATGAATTATTTTATTAGTTATTTTAGTGTTATTAAATGTTATAAAGAATCTTTATACTAAACAACGATAATAATTTCTTATTCATCGCCATTTCTGTTCGCATTTTCCCTCTCATTTGTCAGGCGGTGAATTACGAGCAAGTGCGATTTACAAAAAGCTGCCTACGGAGGTGGGAACGTAAAATATTTCTTACGATACGACAAATATCTGCAGACGGTGGATTTTGGCGACGATCTTGCAGAGGATCACGTATGACTGTAGTGAACCGCGATGACGACCCACGTGCCGCGATAATCAGTCACGGGAAATATTCCGGCGTCGCGAAACGTACGTTTATGGCGTGCAATTCTTCTCGCGTTGTTCCTAATTCAACGTAATCGTCCCCATCCAGAGAATCGCTTTCCTCTGACCACTCATCACTTGTTATTTCCGGTAAATTACGCGAGATGCGTTTCGAGCGCGCGAGACTTGTTCCGCTTTAAATAATTAATGCGTCTTGGCTAACATATTCTTGATGTCAAGAGAAATAGAGGAACATGCTGAAAATAGTGATCTTGCGAAACTGTAATTGACGAAGATTCAAAAGATATATACAAGAGGCCCGAGCGTTACTTGTTCCAGTTAAAAAAAAATCTGATCAATTATATTATTTATTTTAAGATGTTAAAAATAATGAAATTTAACGCTCTTCGAAGATTCCTTCGTTTAATATCCGTGCACCTCAAATCGAAGGGGGATTTAAAAATAATTTCTATCTTAAAGCACCTTAATCCGCCATCCTGTACGTCTTTAGGGATAATGCCTCATTCAAGCCGGACGTACTTTCAACGACTTCTAACTGTTTAAATTTAAATGAACCATTATGCGAATTAATTAATTAAAGCTATGGAACCGGCTTGCCAAAGTAAGAGGCCGTTACTTTCCGGAGAAAAGACGGGTTCAACGTCGGTTTCAATCCGACTTCATCCCTGCCTGGATCTTCCAAATCATCCATCGCTACCAACTTCTTACTCCTTTCTCAAACTGGGTAAAGCATAATTCTACGCGAAAGCGCACTAGAGAAATATCGCTTTGACATGCCCATGCATACGCGGATTCTTGCAAAAGACGGCCATACAGTTTGGATTTCAAAGAACTTTGCAATCGGCTTTGTGCCAAGGAAAATTTCAAACCCGACTTGAACATTCGATCGCACGAATTTCGTTCGACGCGCAACGCCCGTCTGCAATACTTTTAACGCAAAGAATAGCAAAGGCCGTGTAAAAACTCCGCGCCCTTTAAACAGAGAATATTCTTCTATTTAATTTATCCCCGACTTTTGCAGAACAATCGCAACAATTCGCGATCGGAGCATTCAAAGAGATTTAAGAGACGACAATATAATTTCCATTTAATTGGCTAAGTAGTCGCGGATTTGTTCAGATCAGACAGCGAAGTTATGAATATGCATTCTCTCCGTATATCATTTGCGATAAAAAGGAAACTGTGCTCTCGGCAAATTCGTAAAAGCGCGTTATTTCTTTCTCATCCTCGCGCCAAAGAAACGGAAGTTCCATGCCGTTGCCATTTATTTATGACCAAAAACGCACAGTGTCATTAGCACAATCCTACGTTACGATAGCGAACGTTAAATATCCCGAGGAGTTTTAGTGGACGTAAAACGAATTTTGACAAATGTTCCGCGTGCCAATAAACGTTGAAAAATTCGACCGAGCCGTCTGCGCTTTCAATTTTTTCACGCAAGTTCCGCATTTGTATGGTAAGGTTAGTTACGATTAGATGGTTACTAAATCGACGTAGCCATAATTTTTAACGGGGAGTAACAAAATAGCGGGAATAAATTTCAGAGAGAATAAGATTAAAGTTTCTGTCGTACTCGAGTGTGTTTAAACGGCTGTGTCAGTTAAATAGACCTGATATCTTTATGGTGCATAGATCGATATTAATATTATTATTACTAGAAAATGGTGCACGTTAACGTCGCTCACCATGGTCGTCTTCGTAGATGATCACCACCTTGGTCCAATTGAGGAACTCCATGATGTCCTGATAAGCGGCGTTGAGCAGACTTTGTGCGGGATAGAGATTAATGCTGAACTCTTTCGCTTCCGTCTCCAGGTCCAGCCTGGCCTCGAGATGTGGAATATCGAGAGCGTCGCAAATACTGTGAATGTGCTGTCCCAGAATCGGGTCCGAGGGTCCGAAAACCGCTTGAACGCCATGCTTGACCTGCTGGCACGCTGCAAGAAAAAGTGACAGGCGCGTTTTAGGGCGGACAGCTTTTCTGGCAAATTTGCTTGAGCAATCAAGACGATAGCAACTTGGCAGCGAATTTGACTCGAGTATAACTTGGCATTAACTCCGCGTCCGCATCAAGAAGCAATAATTTAACCCGATATTCTCGCAACGGATTCTCGGAGTGCAGATTTTAATTATCCGGAGAAAAATCGCGAGTGTAATGTTGCTATATCGTCCGCTATTAGTTTAATCAAGCGCTTTTTTCCTCTTCCTCGTGCAATTAACGTTTCTCCGTCCAACCTCCCGTTCTCGCGGCGAGAGAGAAGAAAGCGATTAACTCGGAATTACGAGTTTTCCCCGTACCGTTAATGCCGACATAATGATGCCGTGTCACGGTCGATAATCCACCCCGGCATAGCCAAGAAAACTGCGGTAAACTGAGGGTAACGCCGCATTAACGTTACACTACATGTAGAACACGATCGTACCATTCGCCCTCTCTTGTGCCACTTCGTGGCTATTGTACGAGCATAAGGGTTGTTGTACGTGCGGAATGACCGAATCTGGGGCGTACTGGCACACCCGCCGGGTTATCTCATGTAAGTTCCAAGTGTTACCGCACGTCCGGCCAACGTTAGGCAATCGACCGACCCGGAGTTATCCGAGCATCGCCTCTGCCCGTCCGCAGGAACAAACCCCCTGACTGGCCGCCGTCTCTGTCTTTACGTCGCCAAGTTAATTTACGTTGTCGCGCGCGCGGACGGAAATCGATTTTCGGAGCGTGCCGCACTTCCAAGTTGTCCGGGTAACAACGAGACAGCGTTAGTTAGATCAAGTGCCACGAATAGAGAATTTCGGTAAACGCGAATGCGGTATCGCGCTTCCGGATTGCTCGCGAGCATCCCGGGAGTTACGGCGCGAAGTGCCAGCGTGACAATTGTTCCGTGAGAAGCTGCAAGGAATTGCGAAGCAGGCGGGGCGGATATGCGCAATCAGCGTAAACGCATAAATGATAAGAGGTGACGCGTGACAGGTACAAGTATCCGCTTGTGTGCCTTGTATATACGGCATAAAAGCAGCCAAGTCATGTGAAACATTTCAACCAAATATCAAAAGACGTTTGGGATTAAGAACGCAGTGATACGTGAGACGAATATTGAGATCCACGCAGAGGTCGTTAGCAATATAGATACGGCGAGGCTCCTTCCAGCTTTCAAAAATGCCGAGTCTTTTCATGATGGACGATTGAGCCGTCCCGTCCAGTTATCTCCGATTATTATAAGGGAACAGCGGAAAAGATCAACGGGAAGCTGGAAGCCGGCGAGTAATGGCTTCTTGTGCGGTGAGATAATGGCTTTTCGAGCTTCCATTATCATTCCACGCTACGGTGATGATATCGCCGTCATTATACGTGGATTACAACAATCCGGATGATTCTTTTCTTTACAGCGTACCGTTTCTAACGGTACGACCGGTGATACAGGAGCCGCGGAGAAAATACCAAACGCGAGTTGGCTAATACAATTTTATACGGATGGTAATATTCGTATCGCTTCGATGTCAAATCAGTCGGAATGTGAAGCCGACTTGCTATTCGATCGGAGGATTCTGTGTTTCACGAAAGATTTCTATGAAATACCTTCTCCTGTTGCTTCAATGTAAAATAAATCGTTGGATCGTTTTACTTGTGAGTCTACAGAAAGGAACGTAACGTAATCACGTTTCTACAAATTGCGAATTTTAGAATTAACCGAGAGAAAAATGCTTCTCTCTGTATATACGTATATAAATATATTAACTTACTTTACGACCGTGTTCAATATATTGATTTTAACGTTACGGCACTCCTGCGTTTTGAATGCACCTTATTGCATTGCCTCAATCTTGACATTAAGTTTGCACAGATTATTAAGCCATAGGCAAGCATGCGGAGGTAAATGGCTGAGGCCAAAATAAACTTTCAGCCGACTCGTGCTGGCGCTCAAAGCGTAAAGCGTGGAAAAATCAAATTGGCTGTAAACGAGTCTCTCTCGAAAGTAAACGAGGTTTAATTCGTTGCTTAATGGGGTGATCGTTAGCCCCCGGCAAACGTGCCCGTACTCCCCCCCCCCCTCGCTCTTTCTCGCTTTCTCTGCCCCCTTTCTCTCCCCTTTATGTACTATACTTTTCTTCTTTTTTCATTAAAGTGCTTTGCCATTCCTTTTCATGAAAACAATTTTCAATACAAAGTGCGCTTATAATAAACCGAATTCTGTCTCTTCCCTTATTTTCCTTTTCTTAATCGCTTGCGTATTAGTATTAAAAAATGTTTCGTCCTATGATATAAGAGGATGATTGAACCGAGCGGGCAGATTGAACCCGGAAGAAATAAAATGCACGTTACATGATAAAAGCAAGTAATAAGAGTACGCGAAAAGATTGTAGCGATAAAAGTGGAACATAAGAACCGAAAAGATCTCTTGATCGTTAGCGCAGAACAAATGCGTTTGCTCTCTATAGGAAGTGAACTTTCTTTTAACCACAAATTTTTCTTTGACTAGTTATATATATATAAATCGATATCTTTAGTAAAAACGTCTTTTAATATTACGCTCACCTTTCTAAAAACGGAGCTGTTCAACGAAATCTCTCACAAATTGAATTTCGCTTGTACACGATTAGTTACCGGACTAAATAGTATATTCTGGAGCGTATTAGTTTATAATATTTTGTACGGGCGATTTTTTCAATCTAGCGGCAACGTCTCGCTAAGAAAGGAAGTATATCGAATGGAGCGGCACGATGGAAATAAAGATCAGAGCAGATGGGACAGAAAGCGGAAAGTAAAGGGACGTTAGTGGACAGCTGAATAGCAAGGAAATAAAATGCACGTCGAAAAATGGAAGCAGACAACTGCCGCGGGCAGAAAGGATGTAATGGTGAATATAATGCTGGAATATCAAAACCAAAGAGACGGATAAGAAATAACGCGATGATGTTCAATCCATCAACTATTTTTTCACGTCGTTTTCTTACACTTTGCTTCCTCTTAACGTTGACGTCCGTATCATATTTTGTAAAAAGTATTAATGCAATTCGTATATCAGCTTGTGAATAAGAACATGTAACGGTACAGTTTTGATTTTAATATCCGTTGGTCCATCTTTTTCCTACACAAAAGTGATTGCTGTAACTGACAGAAAAGCTTTTTACAATATCACTGTACTTCTTATTGGGAAACAATAATTTTAAAAGCATTGCCGATATCATGTAATACCAGCCTTCGCCGTATAGAAAATCAATAAGTGTCAGTCAGCGGACGAGACGGTTGTCATTTCAAATGACATGTCTTTTAAGTGCATCGTCGTCTCAATCGTAATGACGTCCTCTACTTACAAATTGTATTGCTTCTCGACGTTTCTTACTACGGCTTCAATGCTTATTGCCGCGCTCGCTGAGCTGGTGAGTAAGTAACTTATTTTTTTGCTCAAGTTGATTGTCATTTTTCGACCACATAATAAACTATAATATAATCATTAGTCAAGCTTTACTTGAATTTCCTTTACGGAAAATTATCCAATTTTTATATCACCAAATTTGGAGTTACTTACTTTGCGATGGAAAACGCGATATTATTTCGATTTAATTGTTATCGCGTTGCTGAAGATCGACTCAAAGCGGAACCGTTCGATTTTCAATTGTGTCCTGTTATTATAATAAAAATATAACGTTTACTCGCATCGTCAGCCACGTTGAATTCTGAAAGTCCTTTCTTATTCGTCGTGTATTAAGAAAACCACTATATTTTAATTCGTACGAAGAGCTTGGATTTTTACAGGTTTTTTTACTGCTTTTAATTTGATTATTTCTACAATTAAATTCACGGAAAACTTTCAATTTTCCATGTAAATTAATCATGTGATCGCGTTCTTTCTTATATCGTTATTAATTTGAGAGAAACAAGGTGTATATTTGCGCAAAAAGACAATAGCCTAAAAGATTACACGATTTTAAATCGTGTGTAATCTACTGCGGAATGGACATCCTTTCGATACATGTATAGTCATCTAAACGGAAATATCGAACTTGTTGCGGCAAATATATCTCGCGCGACACTCGACGTTTCGACCGTCGGAAAAAATTTGTTTCCCTGCAGACATGTATGAATTTCTTGTATCGTTTATAGAGCATACATGCACCCACACGAATATTTCTCGCGTGATACACCGCGCAAACGGCGGACACAATCGGCAAAACGATATATATAAGTCTGACGTTTTATTGCCTCCGTATTCGGTCCCTATCAAGAGACACTCGAAGGATATAAACCGGGATAAGAAAAAGCGGTGATATTTTCGACAGTATTTGCTAGTTTGCGCCAAACGGAGAAATAATCGCAAGTTTCGACGTTTCGCGTCCGAGTATTTACCAATTCTGCGATTACTTTTAGTGCGAAGCGACGAACAATGTACCATTCCTATACTATTTTGGAGAATAAAGAGAATGTATTTATTTTCGTTAAAATGTGCAAAAACGGGCATATTTCGCAGGAACTGAATTATGAATACGTTTACCGTTGAGTTGTAAATTCCAGAAAGAAAAACACTCGGTTCCGCCTATTGTAAAATGCGGTTTTTTTTACTGCTTTCGAAATAGCTGAGAGCAAAATTGCAGAGATTATTTCGCAAATAAAAAAAACACGTACTTTTAACAAACTGTTGATACAGCGAAAGATTGTACAATTATACATTAACGTCCCTATTTCAAGTTAAATTTTTGTACGAATATTTTAAAAGTTATTTTTTCTTCTTGAACAAAATCCATTCAGCAAAATTATTTCACGTTTTGTCTGAATGTATAAAACATCTGCAGCCAATGTGGAATGTAATATATATTATGCTGGCAATTCTCATTGATTGGTTGCGTTTCCGCTCTAAAACAAAATGAATGTAATTTATTCAGATCGCGATGGATCTCGTTCAGAGCTTTGGAGTTTTATTCGACACCGAGTTCCCACGGCAAT